GTAGAAGTTGCTGAGGATCCTAGGTGACATGCCAAACTTCCTCAGCCTCCTCAGGAAGTACAGCTGCCGTTGGGCCTTCTTGACCAGCTGTGTGGTGTTAAGTGTCCAAGTGAGGTCCTCACTGATGTGGACACCCAGGTATTTGAAGCTGCTCACCCTCTCCACTTCGAGCCCCCGTATGAACAGTGACCGATGAGATCTCCTCTCCTTCCTCATGTCCACTATCATCTCCTTCGTAAAATAATGAGAGCCTTGCTACGGTCGCGTTGCTTTCCTGTCATCTCAGCCATTTGGTGGTGATCCAAGCTGTTTTCCAGGCTCTTATTCTCATCTTCATCTTCATGTTCTGATAAAATCAGACATGTTTAATATTATCATAAGTCTTTAGTCTTGGCTCATGCAAATAGTGACGTGAACATCATAAACAACCAGCAGTAAATACATGTGTGGGTAAATATGATGGAGACTCTGGTGACTGAGCCCTGAAGGCAAGGTTCTGTTGGACCAGAAACTGGTGGAATGACCAAGAGTGTCTGTGTGATATGTCATTCAATTTGTGCTGTGACAGAGTGGAGAAAGAGAAAAGGTGGACAGACCTTGCTGTCCCCTTTCAGTCAACCAGGGTTGTGTCCATGTTCTGCTGTGTCTTCTCTTCTTTTCTGTTTTTTCCCCCCCCAAGCAAAACACTGCACACACACAAGTGCAGCTGTAGCCAGACACAGGAGCACACGGGAAGTTGTCTCCAGAGAAATCTAATTGCAGTTTTGCAAATATTGACCCTGTGACTAAAACCTCCGTGACTAATGAAGCACTGCCTTTAGATGTGAGAGGGTGTCTTGTTTGAGTCTCAGCATGGTCTTCTAGCTCTAAAGGCCAGCTTAAAACAACCACAACTATGTTCTTAAGTTTCTTAGCTAGGAAGTGACTTGTGGTTCAGGCTTGTAATTATACAATTATTGATTACAGATGTCATCTTGGATCTGAAACTCAAGTTTTAATTAGTTTAGCAGCAATTGTCTGGAAATTCTTTAGATTGTATTCTTTAATTAAAGACTGCTAAGGGGCCTGTTGACTCTCATGTCCTGCACACACTACTAATCGTGAGCCATGAGTTTGCTGCGTTACATGAACATGACATAGGCTCCTGCCAAAAAAGTTTCTAAAAATATCAGGTTGACTGTCATAAACCAGTGTAGTGTAAGACAAAGGTCAGCTCCTCAGTTGTGTCTGAGGATAAAGAGCGTAGCCCTGCCTTCCGATCATTGTCATCTTAAAACATGAAAGTTTCTCAGCTCGTAGAGAGTTTATTAAAACTTTTTCTATAATGCAGTCTACTTTTAATGAAGAAATGTTCCAAATGAAGCTGTGCACTGTAAAAACTGACATGATAAACCCTCTCTCTCTCTCTGGTAGAGTCAGTACCGTTTTGAAGGGACGGGTTTCGCCACCATCCCGCAGCTCATCGAGCACCATTTCTCCACCAAACAGGTCATCACTAAGAAGTCTGGAGTCGTGCTGCTCAACCCCGTCATCAAGGCAAACACTCGTTTGTGTCTCTACGTGCATGTTTACATTAACAGATATGTACAGTCTGAGTTTTTTTGTGTGTGTGTGTGTGTGCAGGATAAGAAGTGGATCCTGAACCATGAGGACGTGGTCCTCGGAGAGCTGCTGGGAAAGGTGACCTGACGCCCACCGCTACACAGTCCTGTTTTCAGCTTTTAGTTCTAGTCTCTAACACCCCATGTCTGTCTGTCCCTCCATGTCCTATCATGCCCTGCTGTTGGCCAGGGTAACTTTGGGGAGGTGTTTAAAGGGACGCTGCAGCGTGACAAAATGCTGGTAGCTGTCAAAACATGTAAAGAAGATTTACCTCCAGAGCTGAAGGTCCGCTTCCTGTCTGAGGCCAGGTCAGTGTGTCACATTACATAAAAAATTAATAAATGGAAACATGCGAAAATTAGGTAACTTTATTTTTCAGTTATTCATTCATTCATTCATTTTCTACCGCTTGTCCCTGAACGGGGTCACGGGGGGGGGGGGCCGGGGCCACACCGCCCCACT